CCACATGGTGACACCCTTCCAGGCCTTTCCAGGAGCCTCAAATCCCTGCTCACGTTCCCACCCTGGTTTGCCCTTCTTGTCCCCAAGGACCTAGATGATCCCCGTGGGACCACTCCAGTTTGGTGACACAAAGAAGGCCCACCCCCCTGCAGTGGGGATGGTGACCCGCCAGCCCTCAGCCCTGGACAGTCACTAGCACCTGCAGCAGGAAGTCCACCCCAGTGGGACCAGCTCCCTTGCATGTGAGTCTTCACCGGAGTTCCCAGCACCACCCCCACTTCCACGCAGGCCCGGCAGGTCGCTGGCACCTCTGTTCTCCCGGGACCAGGCAATTCCCTCGTCTCCCCTCCCTGGGCGCAGGGGCCCTGGCTCGAAGGGATGTTTAGAGAGAAGTCCTGGAGTAGGTACAGGTGGGGAGCGGACAGCTGGGTTCATTTCATTAGACATTTGATGCGCACCTCCTATTTGCCCCACATGGTGTGACCAGAAAGAGCAACAAGACCCACATGAGGCCCGGCTGGTGTGGCTCAGTGGCTGAGCGTCAATCTACGCACCAGGAGGTCACGGTTCGATTCTGGTCAGGGCACACGCCTGGGTTGCAGGCTCGATCCCCAGTAGGATGAGCAGAGCCCAGCAGGGGACTCACTCTGAGGCTTCAGCTCATCCTGCACAGGATGTGTGTGTGTGGTGTGTGTGTGGTGTGGTGTGTGGTGTGTGTGTGTAGGAGCCTGCAGACCCTCTCGGCCTCCCTCTGCACATCCCACAAGCGTGCAGGAGGCAGCCCCTCAATGATTCTCATCATTGATGTTTCTCTCCCTCTCCCTTCCTCTCTGAAAAAAAAAAAAATTTTTTTTTGAACAACAACAAAAAAGGCCCATGTGAGGAAGGCAAAAATGTCAAATTGGAACTGTGATTCATATTGTGATGACAAGTATGTTAGAGACACAGGAGGCGACGGGAGCCCAGAAGAAAGCGACGAGTCAGGGCTGGGTGACTCTGGGCAGGCTCTCTGGTCTGGGGGACCTGGCATTTGGACTGGACCTGGGGAGGTAAACAGGATTGTGATAGGGAGAGAAAAATGGAGAAAGGTTTTGCTGGTCTTTAAGCTGCACCTACAAAGTAAGATGAGAGATTTTGAAGCATTGCTGCTGTTACCACACCGGCTGGGCAGTGCAAAGGCAAAAGCGTGGATTTGAGTCCAGACTGGGCCATTTTGTGGGCCAGTCACATGACTTCTTTGAGCCTCAGTTGTGTCACCTGGGAGAGAGGAATGCTGGCCATTTCACAGAGTGGCCATGGAGATGAAGTCATTCCAGCCAAGAGTGCCTGCCAAATAGTAGGAATTGAATGCATATTTCTTAAGTACATGTAACATGTAGCATTTTACAAGGGACTTTCACAAACATTTTATTATTATTTTTAATTGATTTCAGAGAAGGGAGACAGAGAGGTAGAAACATCAATGATGAGAGAGAATCATTGATTGACTACCTCCTGCACGCCCAACACTAGGGATCGAGCCTACAACCCAGGCATGTGCCCTGATGGGGAACCGAACTGTGATCGCCTGGTTCATAGCTCGACGGTCAACCACTGAGCCTTGCTGACCAGGCTTCACAAACATTTTAATTCCCTGATGACGTTCTGTCACGGTCCCGGCTCACAGGGTAGCAATGGAAGGTATTACTGACCCTCCTTACACATTGCAGGCCACACCTACTTCCTTGGGAGGCTGAGCTCAGTGTGTGACAAGCGGGTCTGAGCAGGGAAGGAAATAGCGTGGAGAGCTGGAACTGGGTCAGAGCATTCGCCCTCAAATGTCTAGGGAGGGGTTCCACAATCCCACAATCACACAAGCACACGGCCTCGGTCCCATTTTCAAAGTGTGGTCCGTGAGTCACTCTGATCAAACTCTTTTATAAAATACGGACCAATAGCCAGACTTGCCAGACCAGTCTCTGGAGATGGGGTCTGGAACAATCTGGAACACACGCGTGCATAAGGTTTGGGAAAGTGTAGGGACTGTTGTGCCTCCTGCTCCCTCTGCCTGGGCCACCCTTGCTTGGAGAGCCAAGGGCCTACTCCATTCAGGTTTCTGTTCAAATGTCTGCTCCTCAATGTCTGCTCCCCAATCTAGTCTTAGTCCCTGAAACTCTCTAGTCCCTTAACGCACGTCATGTTCATCATAGTACTTAACCTGATAGCATGTCCATGTTGATTCACTATTGTACCTTTAGTGCAGGGGTGGGCAAACTTTTTGACTCAAGGGCCACAATGGGTTCTTAAACTGGACCGGAGGGCGGAACAAAAGCATGGATGGAGTATTTGTGTGAACTAATATAAATTCAAAGTAAACATCATTACATAAAAGGGTACGGTCTTTTTTTTTTTAGTTTTATTCATTTCAAATGGGCCGGATCCGGCCCGCGGGCCGTAGTTTGCCCATGGCTGCTTTAGTGCCTAGAACAGCGCCTGACATAGGGTGGGTATTAAATACTTGTTCAATGAATCGCCACTCTGTGCCCTTGAAGGTCTCAGTAAACATCGGTGCTGCTGGCCACATATTCCAGCCCTTTTCCCATTCTGAGCACAGGGTAGGGTTGCACTTCTCCCCCCCCCCCCCCCCCTCCGGTGCAGGTGGTATAGCTAGGTCTGGCCGGTGAACGAGTTGTGCAGAAGCGAGTGGAGCCTTTAAAGGTGGGTGTAGGAGCCTGCAGACCCTCTCGGCCTCCCTCTGCACAGTGACTGGCAACGTTAGCTGTGGTGGCTGCTCCGTCGGCCTGGGTCCCTCAGTGGCTCTGATGAACAGTCTCCCTGGCACACGGCGGAGGGCAGTGGAGTGAGTGAGGAAGAAGTCTGGTCCACAGGCCGGGAGGTGAGGTGGTTCATTACTGCAGCGGAACCTGCCCTGCAGGACAGGCCTGGTGATCCCCTGCAGAGCCCAGAGCAGTCGGAATCACGGGGAGGCCCGAGGTGCTTTGGGAATTTCAGGTGCTTTGGGAATTTCAAAGCCTCAAAGCTAAGCAGAGCCCCAGACTTCCCCTGCAGAAAGGCAGCCACCTCTGTCCTTCCTCCCCCGTCCTACTAAGACGCTCAGGAGGGGGTGGGAAAGCCTTGAAACACTGCCCCCCCGGGGGAGCTGACAGGCTCAGGGACCACCTACCTCGGGAGTGACCTCACACACTGACCACACACTCCGACTCTCATAATCCTTCCCCTTGGTCAAAAGTGAAAACACGAAGCGGCCCCCTCTTCTGGGAGTGAGTCACAAGCAGAGGGAAGTCCACGGCTCCGGGCCCAGCGGAGCCGCTCACGTGGGGGAAACTCCAGCGGAGGTGTCTCTGCAAGGCTGCTGTGGCCTCTCCCGTGCTGCCTGCGTGACAGAGAGGGGTGCAAATCATGCTCAGGTTCCAGCATCCGACCTCACCCTGACCCGCCAGCTGAGGAGTTTATACTTCCCTGGGGAGGGAGGAATGAGTGTGTGAGTGTGTGTGTGTGTGCGTGTGGGGGGTGTGTGGTGTATGTATGTGTGGGGTGTATGGTGTATGTATGTGGTGTGTATGTGTGTGGGGGTATATGTATGTGTGTGCGTGTGTGTGTGGTGTGTGGGGGGTGTGTGTGGGGTGTGGGGTGTGTGTGTGGGGTGTGTGTGTGTGTGTGTGTGGTGTGGGGGGGGCTGTGTGTGGGGTGTGTGTGTGGTGTGTGGGGTGTGTGTGGGGTATGTGTGTGTGTGTGTGTGTGGTGTGGGGGGGGCTGTGTGTGGGGTATGTGTGTGTGTGTATGTGTGTGGTGTGGGGGGGCTGTGTGTGGGGTATGTGTGTGTGTGTGTGTGTGTGTGTGGTGGGGGGGGCTGTGTGTGGGGTGTGTGTATGTGTGTGTGTGTGTGTGTGTTGTAGGAGGGAAGGGATGCTTCTCAAGGAAGAAAGGACTGGGCTGGAAAGATGGCATCAGAGGAACCAGACCCAGGCAGGGAGCCTCCTGTTGAGTTCGGGGGAGGCAACTACCTCTCCAGACCTCGATTTCTTGGCTCAGGGAGAGGAACCTCAGATCAACCTGATAACCTTGGGGTTGGTTACATGAAGTCATATCACCTCCATTTTCATCTCTTTCCCATCCCAGAAGCCAATGTCTGGTGCTGGCCTGGCATGGTCTCCGCCCGCTCAGTGCTGAGAGCAGCAGCCACCCCGCCTGCTGCCCAGCTGCCTGCAGCAGGAACACAGAAGCCAGCATTTTTCTGTGCAGCCCAGGCGATCTGGAAGGGTTTACACCTGGTCGTTCCGGACGGTCCCCAGTCCAGGGCCGAAGGAGACAGTCATCCCAGGAACCTCTCTGGCCTGGGCTGCCAGGGGTGGGGGCGGGAGGTCGAGGGCAGAGATGTGATTGTCAGCGATTATTTCACAAATGACATTTCCAAACTGGCCTCCCAGTGATGAACTCTGCCAGGTCTCCTCTTCTTGCCACACCAAGCTGGCACGCCGAGCTCACAGTGGGTCCACACCTGGAACCTCACCCAGCCCGCTGCCCTCCTGGGAGGAGATGACAGAGGACAGAGGGTGGGTGAAGCAGATGTGGACATGCACTATAGGTTTCTGCACAAGCCACGAGCCTGCGTGCAGAACAAGTGGGAGAGAGGGGAATCAGACGGCACAAAGGCAAATTGCACTTTCCTTTTCCGACATTCAGCGCATCTGGGAACAGTCTTCCCACTGGGTTTCTCTCCGTCTGTCCCAGGGAAGTCACCTGTCCTGTGGGGGAGAGAACGGACGAGCCCATCTTATCACTACCTTCGATCTGAGGCAGAGCATCCGCACCTCCTGGGAACTCATTAAAAATGCAAAATCTCAACCCCCTGCCCCAGACACACTGACTCAGAAACTCTGTGTGCGGGGGAGTAATCTGTGAGTTAACGAGCCCTCCAGGTGATCGCCATGCTGCCAAAGTTTGAAAACCACTGATGGAGAGAAAGCCAGCTTCAGCCAGGGGAGAGGAGAGGTGGGGGAGGGGAGGTGGGGGTGGCTGGAGGCCTACACTCCCGAATCTCAGTGCCTTCTCTTTGCAGCGCTGCGGCATTGGCTGCTGTGGCATTGCCTCCTGTGGCCGTGGCTGCTGTGGGCCGTTCTCGCTTGCCCAGATACCACCTTCAGCTCCAGTCTCTGGTGAGACCCGAGGACCCTGCGACATGTCCTCCGCTACAAATGCGATCATCCGGGCCATGAGGGAGAAGCCAGGGACCAAAGCAGGCTGGGAATTCCCTCCGCCACTGGACTCCAAGAAATGTTAGGAATTACCTAAGAATTCCTGCAAGGGGAAACGAAAAGCAAGAGTGAAAATTCCCCTGCCAGACACTAGGGGGAGACCCATCTCTAGCCTGGGAAGCGGGGGAGGAGGCGAGGTCTATTTTAGGCAATTCCCCAAGTTGTTTGCTGGTGACCTGTGATAAACCAACCAAACCCAGCCCGAGCTTTAAGAAGACGGGCAGTGACGGCCGAGTCCGGGCGGTGGAACTGGCGAGGGCTGCAAACGCGTCTCCCTGTCTCCGCATGCCCAGACCAGTTTGGTTAGAACTAGAAGCTGAAGAGGGCCAGGGTCATACAGCTGGTCTGCCAGGACACAGGTTCGCCCAGACAGGAGGCCCGTTTCCTCACGCCCGAAGGCGATCAAGACCCGCCCCATAATCTGTGGGACCCAGGGCAGGACAAAAGCGCTTGGCCCTTTGTTCCAAAAGTATCAATTCTCTCAAGATCGCGACAGCAGAGCATTAAAGGGGGTTGGGTTGGTGCGCTGGTCCTGGTGCGGCAGCCAAGGCAATCTGTCCTCGGGGTCCACAGGTGAGCTGTCCATCACAGATGCTAAGTAGGGCTGGGGCGGGGGGGGGGGAGGGGGCCGCTGGTATTTCCATAGCAATGACTAGAGCAGCTACGGGGAGAGAAGGGTCTGATGGAGAAGGAGAAGCTCTCCCAACCCAGGGCCCAGATCCCCCAAGCCCAGCCTTCCCGGAAAGGAATATCCTGCCGGGCAGGGCTGCCCGCGGAGGGGAAATCCAGGGAGAGCGAGAGCGGCACGCGCTCAGTCTCGCTCCGGCGCCGCGGGGGTGGCTGCCCGCGGTCGGCATCTGCAGCGTCGCTCCCATCACGGGACTCTGCGTGGCCGCCCGACGCGAGCGGAAGCCCGCGTTCCGGACCCGCGTGGGGCTCGGCTCACGGGGGAGGGGGAGGGGAGGGGAGGGGGAAGCGGAAGGAAGCAAAGGGCACGTCCCTCGGGTCCGCTGGAAACCAGGAGGGTGGCGGACAGACCCCCGGCCTGGACCTTTCCCTAGACCCCACTTCTTGCTATATTTTTATTGATTTCAGAGAGGGGAGAGAGGTAGAAATATCAATGATGAGTTTGATCGGCTGCCTCCTGCACGCCCCCCCCCCCCCCCACCCAACCCAGGCATGTGCCCTTGACCGAAATTGAACCCGCAACCCTTCAGTCCGCAGGTCAACGCTCTAACCACTGAGCCAAGCCAGCTAGGGTTTCTTGCTAGATCTTAAGCCCTTCCTTCCGCCCGCCCCTCGCCAGGGCTTGCAGCGCTGCAAGTGGGGGGACCTGGGGTAGGGGGAGGCGATGGGAGAGGGACAGGGGTGGGGCTGAAGGCAGACGGTCCCCAACGAGACCCCTCTTAGGAGTTGTTCCGAATAGCGCCTTTCCCATAGGAAATCCTCCAGCGGCCAGCGGTCCAGTCGCGTCCTGAAGACGCCCCGAAACCCACACTTGTTCATGCGCCCCCCATCGCGGAACCAGCGGCTCCGCGGGTCTGCGTTCCCTGGGGTTGTCCTTCCTGCCTCTCCCGAGTCTCCCCGCCCCTGCCCCGCCCCGCAGCCTGCGGTCCCTTTAAAGGCCGCTGGTCTGGGGCCGCCCTCCTCTCGAGGCGAACTCGGGAGTAGCGTCGGCGCCGCGCTGCGCACCGGGCGGGCATGGTCATGGCGTCCCCGGCCATTGGGCAGCGCCCGTACCGGCTGCTCTTGGACCCAGAGCCGCCGCGCTATCTGCAGACCCTGAGCGGCCCGGAGCCGCCGCCGCCGCCGCTGCCGCTGCCGCCCCCCGGCCGGGCCTCCCGCCGCTGCGCCCCGGCGCCCATCTCCACTGCGCCCGGGGCGCACGAGGGGCGCGGCGCCCGAAGAGCTCCCCGCGGGGACCTGGACCCCCCACCCCGGGCCTCCCGCCCCGCTCGCCCTCTCCGGCCCGGGCTGCAGCAGAGACTGCGGCGGCGGCCTGGAGCGCCCCGGCCGCGAGACGTGCGGAGCATCTTCGAGCAGCCGCAGGATCCCCGCGTCCCGGCGGAGCGAGGCGAGGGGCACCGCTTCACCGACCTGGCGCTGCGGAGCGGCCGCGGCTGGTGCGACCTGTGCGGACGAGAGGTGCTGCGGCAGGCGCTGCGCTGCGCTAGTGAGTGCGGGGGCCGGCGGGCGGCCGGGGAGGGGCGCGCGTGGAACCGCAGTCCGCGGCGAGGGGCTGGGGCCGAGAGAGCGGGCATTGACCTCTCTGGCTTCAGGGGAGACCTCGACTGTAATTAAAGGAGAAAAACCCTGGAAACTCTCTGCTCTTGAGTCCCCTGCCCCGTACCCTTGAGTGTCTGCCTCTTGCCCGGATAAGGTTCTGCGGTTTTAACAAATACCTCTCCTGCCGGGTACCTGCTCCCCCCCTCCCCAGGCACACACGTGTGTACACTCAGGCGCGCAGGTTGGGTCGATGGCCGCAGCCGCAAGGTCAGCCGCTGCACCCTCTCGGTTTTGTTGTCGGTTCTGGAGAGTGGGGTTGTGAGACTGGTGCTGAGATGGCCATTGACCTGTGCTTATTAGGGTTCATGGCAGAACGGTTTGTTTGTCCGTCTGTGGCCCAGGCCGATGGTCCATGCTCTCCCCCAGGGTGTCCTGTTGGGAGAGGGAGGGGAGCTGGCTAGGCTTTGGCTAGAGCCAGCGGTGAGGCCGAAGAGGAGCCTGAGGTCACCCTGGACCTGTGCCCCCTCCTGCCGTCTATCTCTGGCCCCTCAGACCTTTGGACCCTGCTCCGGTGTTTGGCGTACCCTGCCTCCTCCCCGGCCTCCTGTGCGATTGCTCTCAATGTACTGGCCATCACGCTCTAACATTACCCAGCTCGGCCCCTTGCTCCCCGAGCTCCCAGGTCCCTCCAGCCTCCCCTGAGCCAGGCTCTCCTCCAACCTGACTGTAAAACGCAGGGCACCCAGGTGCAGGTCTTCTGAGCCACTTTGCAGGCTTCCTGGTGTTTCCTTATTTCCCTCTTCTTGCAGTTAGGTGTGTGTATTTCTTTAATGAGTGTCCTCTCCCCACCTCCACCTCCATTTTCGCTGTTGCCCGTGTCTGGATATCTATGTGTTTAGATGCATATCTTCAGTATCTGAGGCACACAGCACAGACTCTAGCAAGCACCTCTGGAAATGGGTTGTGCATATTTCAGCAACCGTCCCCCTTCCCCCGCCCCCATGCTCTCTAACTGCCGCATTGGACAGCACCCGCCTCATTCACTTCAGGAAAAGCCCACTTAGCCTCTCTCTGCTGTCAGTCCACCGCCCAGGCTGCGCAGGGTCCCTCCCACTGCAGCTGGCTGCGGGGAAGGAGAGCCGACTCTCAGCCAGGGTCAAGTGGAAGGGGGGGACTGGGGGCAAGGGGGTGCTCCTCCCTCCGACACCAGAACTCACAGCTCAGGTGCCATGAACAGGGAAAGAGCGAAAGTTAGGTGTGCGCAATGGGTCCAGGGCTGCAGCCTCTTGGCCAAGGCCCTGACCTTGCAGTAGAATTGATGCAACTTGCCCTCAGATGTGTTGGCAGCTCTGGCCTCTCAGGGAGTATTTTATTTACTGCGTTCACCAACCCTAACAGCACGGAGGCAGCGTCCTCGCGGGAATGGCTTTTCTTGTGCGGGAATCCTGGGGGATCCGCCTCATTGGAATTCTAGTGTTTATTACGGCGTTTGTATCAGTTGTTGAACATGTTGCACGCAGCTTTATGGTTTTTCGGGGACGGTGGTGGTGATAACAGTGTGTGTGTGTGTGTGTGTGTGTGTGTATGTATGTGCATGTGGGTGCATATGCATGCTACTCCATGGCTAAATGAATGCACGCTCGCTTTACATTAGAATTGTTCATTTAATTGGTGCGTAAGTAGTTTCTGGTGGCAGGAAGACCAGGTGCAGTGATGTTTCTTCTGACGTGGTTGACGTGGTGGCCCCCACACAGATTTAATAGCAACCAGGGATGGCTGAACACCAGAGAGAGCGCAGAGCTGGGACCAAGGGGCTAAGGAGAGGGGTCTCGGTCTGCCGTTATTAATAGGGACAGACGGAGCCTCCCCTGCGGACCTGTGGCTGGAGGGGAACAGTGAGGAAATGTTCCGGTGCAAATGAGGCCTGGCAGGGGGAGGCACAGCAGGCTGGACTCCCCGAGGGCCTTCCTTTAAGCTGAGGGTCTCGTTCCATGGAGGGGTTGGTTTTTTTAAAAAATATAGTTTATTGATTTTTTACAGAGAAGAAGGGAGAGGGATAGAGAGTTAGAAACATCGATCAGCTGCCTCCTGCACACCTCCTACTGGGGGTGTGCCCGCAACCAAGGTACATGCCCTTGACCGGAATTGAACCCGGGACCCTTCAGTCCGCAGGCCGACGCTCTATCCACTGAGCCAAACCGGCCAGGGCGGGGTTGGTTTTTTTAATCTTTATTCTGAAAGGTAAGGCTCAGAAAGATGACTTTTTAAAAGCAGCACTATGGCCGAAACCGGTTTGGCTCAGTGGATAGAGCGTCAGCCTGCGGACTGAGAGGTCCCGGGTTCGATTCCGGTCAAGGGCATGTACCTGGGTTGCGGGCACATCCCCGGGTGGGGGATGTGCAGGAGGCAGCTGATCGATGTTTCTCTCTCATCGGTGTTTCTAACTCTCTCTATCTCTCTCCCTTCCTCTCTGTGAAAAATCAATAAAATATATTAAGAAAAATAAATAAATAAATAAAAGCACTATTAAGTAGTTAAGAGGACAGCCTGGACCCAGAAAATGTGGGTGTGAATCTTGCCTCGGCCCCCGAGTCTCAGCGTGCACCTGTATTTCACCTCCTAGTTTTAAAAAAATAGGGATAATAACAGACCTGTGTTAGTGTGTTCATGTGAGAATCATATGAATTAATGGGTGGAAAGTGCTTAGAGCAGTGCTTGGAACATGCAATATGAACGGTGGGTGCGATGTGGATGTTGTTATTATGCCCCCTGTGTAGCACTGTGACAGTGTGTCTGGCTTGGGACACCTCTGAGGGTCACCTTTCCAAGCGCTGTGTAGTTTTCGAACTCTGCGTGGCTGCAGAGCTCAATGAGGAAGCGAGTGCCGTGCGTGTCCCGGGAAGTGCGGGTATTAATGTCCCCTGGAAACGTCACTCCCAGAATGCCATTGGCACCTGGCTGTGTTCCTCTCGCCCCCAGCACAGTGCCAGGCACAGAGCACGGCTTTAGTTAGTGGTGGCTGTTGAAGTCAGCATCTTGTTATTGCTGTTAAATCTCCCTGTCCTTGGGAATGAGCAGAAGGGCAGCGAGTATATGAATAACACCTGTCTGCGCAGGCAGCTGACCCTGGGTGGGAACCTTGTTGGCAAAATGAGCCTTTAATGGGGGCAGCTGTGAGAAACCTGTCTGCCTGCCTTTTTAGTGAAAGTTCCTCTCATTTACACGCACTCCTGCCCAGGCCTGTAACTGAGCTCTGGTTAATGCTGGGTTTGCCAACAGGAAAGTTCAGGGTTAATGTTAATTCCTAGGAGTGAAGGAATCATGTTTGTTGGGTAGGAAAGGGAATCTAGTGGGGATTGGTGCAGAGAGAGAGAGAGGTAGAGAGAGAGAGAGAGAGAGAGAGAGAGAGAAGAGAATTATGTGGCCAAGTGTGTTTTGGGCGGGGCCCTGACGGGGGAGAGAATGCCCATTTCCAGTGCTCCAGGTGGGGTTGGTCAGCAGCAAACAACCCCCTGCCCTTGGACTTACTTCTCAGGGAATATTCCTTATGGGTCATGGTCCCTTTGCTCTGTAAAAGGCACCTAGAGTTGACCTTTGACCTTCCATCTCCTTTTGGTCGATACATAAGCCTCCAGGGAATGGTCTAGAAAATAGGGAAACCTAAGTCCAACTCAACATTCCAGGAGGTTTGGTTGGACACACCTGGCATGCTGTCAGCGCATGCCACGCGCCGGCTCCCGGAGCCGGTCTCTCTCTGGAAGGGCGTTGTCCAGAGCTGGGAATGTGCTAAGTGATTGAATTATAGGGTTGCAAGGGGGGCCCTGTGGCTCATCAGCTAACCTCCCCTTCCTGTAATAGACGTTAATTATGGTGTGAGGGCGAGACCTTTGCATGGCCTTCAGGGATGGGGACCTTTGTGGGGAGGGAGGCTGGCATCTCACAGGGCCCCTTGTCCAGCCGCCTTGTCCCGTCGCTGCATTAATGGGTGGGCTTAACCCTTCGCTCTGCACATGCTGAAACCACGCGTGTGGCAGCCAGGGGTCCTGCAGGCCCGTGCCTTGTCGTGGGCTCTCTGTGGGAGAGAGTACAGGGACATGGGCCTTGAGTATCCCGGTAGCAGACCCAGAACCCGGCCGCTTGGGCAGCGTGGTGTTTGTCCAGTGCACCCAGCAGCACTGAGGTGTGAGGCCTGAAGTGTTATCATTGGTTCCATGCTTGGCTTTGGAGGTTAGGGAAGTTAAGCGCCAAGATGGGTGTCACGCTGTGAAAGCTTGAGGACCCCCCCGCCACTTCCAGCCCCTCCCCTGCTCCTGGCTCTTAGAGGGGTCTTCTTGGGAAAGGTCCTCAGGGAGTGTGGGGGAGCTGGACGTGGGGGGACAGAGAAGGGGTCTGGAATGCTTTGAGAGAGGCCTTCTGAGCTCCCCACGCTGTGTCTGTTTCCTCTGTCCCTGCTTCCTGTCTTCTCAAAAGATGAGAGAAGATGAGAGTGAAAGGATAAAATGTGGGCTTAATTCCCCCCCCCTTACACCCCCATTCATCAGAGCATGAAATTCCCTGATTAGGGAGGGAGAGGGGCTTGGATCCCAGGTACAGTCAAAAATGATTAATGCCACTAGTCTGCCAGTCTCATTAGAATTGGTAATGAGCATGTGTGTTTGCCTGCTGATCCTGCGAGTTATGAGGTGGACGTGAATTGACATCTCCCCTCAGCACGGAGGGTTTGACTTGGGATCCGCTCTCTTCTCCCCAAGTTCACCAATGAACCCGCTTATGCCAGGCCGGGCTGCTCGGCCCTGAGTGACAGAGGAAGGACAGCCCAGCCCAGCCCCAAGGGCCCTGGCTGGTGAAGGGACTCGCCTGGCCAGGAGCAGGGGCCGGCGGCTCAGGAGGGCGGCTGGGGCTCAGGCAGGCCCAGGCCCGCTGGGAGGATGACGGAAAACGCCTCGC